CGTGACAAGTATACTCTCCAAACACCGAGGATTGACAAACAGTTCTGTTTAATCTTTGATATTTTACGTTCTCCACAGACCCCAGTTTCCTTTATACTTGTGCAGGTGTCATGTACATAAAATACTAAAATATATTAGGGGGACCGGAAAGAAATCCATTATTTTTATATTTGAAGATTGGGGCAGAAATAATGGATTTCTTTCCGATTCCCAATGTATTTAGTTTGATTTCGAACTAATACTCTTTACTTCATGTACGACAGTTACTCCGCCGTAATATCGAGAGCAAGTCAAAGTGAAACTAATATTTTTCACTTCGAATTTAAGGATTTAGAGTAACGCGAATCACAAGAAACTTTAGCTTTTACTTTGCTCAAGTCGCCGTCCTCAAAGCTGTGCGGTCTTTGACGGAGAGATAGAGCGAAGGTTGAATTCAATAACGTCACGTTACCGATTCGAGAACCTGCAAAAGGGGTCTTAGAACCTTTGAGGTTTCGGGAAACACGTCCCATGAAGAAATTCCGTGAACCGATAGAAGCTGTAGGACTTAAACCTGAATTTTCTTAATGTCGATTCGCCAAAGAAATTTCTAGGCAACGTAATGTGAATTTTTCAATTCGGTTGTGTTTTCTGCAGGGGCGTTTCATCTCTTTGTAAAATCTCGTATTCTTGGTTTAGATGAAAACGAAAGTTTTAGACCAGAGAGAGGATACAATTTTCGATGAAAGAGCAAGGATTTGGACCGAAATGTTGTCAATGGGCATGTCCTTTGCATGGCGGTACCTGGGTGTCCTGCTTTTCCTTTTTTTAACGGATACAGAAAGCCGAATATCCAAATCTCTTAGTCTTGGGAAAGAACAGGAGACAATGGCCGATCGTTAGATGTGCATAGTTGCACGAAACGTATAATGGAAAGGAGGCGTCGGCAGGAGGTAAAAAGCAAGAAGTCAAACGTTTTACACTTAATGCCGCGCAATTATGCTGCTGCGAGCTGAAATACTGCCGCGTGTCCACATAATTAGTAAGCTTTTACACTTGCATGGAACCTTGCCAAATTTTCTGCACTCGTCCACCCTAGATATCGGTTATTCGGAGTCGCGACGGTGTTCGTCATTGGGCCGTGATACGCATGAAAAACTGAACTCGATTTGTCGATAATGTCAGGATGTACGATCCTTCTGGCAAAAGTCATAAACGTAGAAAAGAGCTTAAAATCATATTTTCATCCTACCTGTCCGATGTAGGTATATACAATGCGAAATCATAACATCTCTTTACTCGATACTCTTGGTACTTACATCTTAATTTTAGCCATATATTTTAGTAATGTATAGTTGATGAATGCCTGATACTATCAGAAGAAACGTGACTAAACTGTACAACTAAACAAGTGAAAACGCACGGGCGGGAGTAATATATATATATTATTGTAGTAAGATCATATAGTTATCGTGCTTTAATGAAAAATGTTGATAAATGAAGCTGGACACTACTATATTAACCTATTCGATCTTTATCGAGCAATGTTGCATTACTTCAAATTTCATCTAGTTTTATAATCGTGTGCTTACGTTTATGTGAATAAGTAATGCGCCTGCATGCAGAATAGAAAGTGTCAACGTTATCATAATTATGATAATGAGTCAGATGGGAAAATATAGAAAACACTTTCACCAACGATTGCAAGAGAATGCTGGCTTGTCCTGTGGCTAACACGGGTCTTCAGAGCAAAAATTTAATTGCAGGTAAACGTCACAGATGGCGACGTTGGTCCTAAACAGTCGTTAGAATAATGAATTCATGAGATTTCGTGGGTTTTACATTGGTCTCTTCGTCATTACTTTACCGAAATGGCATATGGAACGCTTCAGTTCGTATAGTCAACGTAGACTGTAAAAGACTTCAACATAAATATAAATGTCAGTAACGGAACGTGCCAGTTTATGTTACCATTTGAATATTTAAAATGACGTTACCACCAAAAAGGGTATAGATGGATTTTAGTTTATCAATCTCGAATAAATTTCCCAGCACCTTTCATATCATCTTAAGATGACGCGAAAGTGGCGTCAAAGAGGTCTCGTTTATAAAACTGTTTCCCGAAGTGGATGTACCCAATCATATGAAACTTTACAATGTGAATATGGAGGCCAACCTCCGATTATGCGAATGGTCGTTCAATATTGCCCAAAGCTTGCGTACTTTCAATTGCAACAACAGCACGCGATTTCTGTACGCGCTTAACCACGATTCAACGTCTCACTTTAAAGACCCAACTAAAGTAGCGCCATTAGGGTAGGGGGTTAAACTTCGCTGGGATCGGCTTGCGCATAACTTTGCTTAAAAACTAGTTGTCACATTCGTAGCAAGTCTTCTTTAAGTATATAAAGTACATAGGGACTGCGGTTGACGTCAAAGCGAAGCTTTCGCACGGTGCGCGGTTATGTGGCATTTCTACGTAAGTGAGATGCGAGTGTCGGTCGCTGGCTTTGAGGATCTTGCCAAATCTCCGGTCCCAGATTTTTCCCTTTCAGACGAGTCGGTTTGTGCCACAATTTCGACCATTATCAGCCGCATTGCGACGGCACACAGACGAGAGGGAAAAATGACATGTTTCGTAACGGATAAGTGCATTCGAGGAAAGCGACTTTTACGTAAGGTGGACGTGCAAAACGGACCGCGGGGTTGACAACACCTATACATCGTTATCACTTTTTCTGAGCAAAATCATAGCTTAATGTTTTCTTCGCGGGCGAGGCATAACATATAGATACATGTGTCCCTCAATTTACGCGGCGTATCCGTTCCACGTGGATTCGTTTTACGCGAAGAAAAATTGCGTAAATAAAATCTGTCAGGACAAAAGAAAAAATATTGGAGATAAAAGCTGGTGCGTATGAGTTTAGAAACTGTTTATTTCAAATAGCTTACCAAAGAAATATTGGAAATAAAAACTGCGTAAATTGTATTATAATTTACTGCGTAAAAAAGTGCTGCCTAAGTCGAGGGAGAGGTGCAGTAATATTTTTCATTGATAAATGTCGATCATTGTTAATTGATATGCACCTTGTCAAATATGTGTCGATATTTCGAACACTTTCTAATGCATGTGTATCCTGAATCTAAAACAGCGACACTCGATATCGATATTGAATAAGTAATAATTACACATAAAATTGGGGTTATTTTATTACCATGTGTTGTTTTCAAATTACACAATAGATAACGTTAATTAACGTATCATAAATGCCTCGTTACAAGTTGCTTCAACCCACTATTAACAATACGTGCCAAAAATGATGGGGCAATATAGTTATTTATTTCTTCACGTGTGCATTTTATTAGCTCCATTGCAAATGTGGCGGATGTTAAAATGAAGCTTATTCGCCACACTCAGAAAGAATGGCGTTATCAAATCCGTTAATGGAATCAATGATGGCCGATTAATTCCTTTTGCATTCTCCAAGCTTCAATATTCCCGATATATCGGGTCCATTTAGTTCAACACGTAATTTGGTGGAAAACGTTATTTCCGTCCAGCAGTTCGCCTATTCCGCGAATCCGAGGAATCCCCGTTGTTTTTCCAATGGATAATTAGTATTATAATTCAGAGGCAGAATGGAAAGCGGCACTGACTGGTTCATTTGTTTCCACCTTCGGCGAGAACTTGGCAGGTCCCACTTAGCGCATCTCGAAGCCGAACTTCCACTTTCTCGCTCCTTTTTTCTTAGATTTTAAAGCTTCTTCATCTTTACGACGATCGGAAACTTGGCACGACCTTCGGAATTCTCACCAAGGCGAGGCACAACAGTAGCGAGGACGTCGCGAAATAAAGTCGGCGAAACTTCGAGACGCTTCTTTCTTTGAATCTTTTAAAGATGCTTCTTCGTCCTCATTTTCCATCCGAAATTTTTTGCAGATACCGGAAAGCCTATCGTAACGGGGCTAACAAGTTTCTCGTTTTCAGTGTCGGAATGCTTGAATGGCGTGTCTTAGGAAATTTCAACAGGGACAAAAGTTAGAGTCTTAGAAAATGATTTGAGTAATCTCTAATAGCATGGAATAATTTCGAAATATTTTGTTTTCAATCTTTGCTACATGTCTCAAGCGACAGATTTTTTAAGATGTCTCATAGATTTCATTTGAAGATATCGAATATATTTGTTGACAGTCTCATATTTAGTTTTAATAATTTATAATCATATATTAAAATTGTATTTCTTCGCTTATAAACATGTAATAAACATACATTTTTTACTTCACGATTATTATGGGACATTTCATTTGGTATCAAAACACACGATAAACTTTTGCAACATTTTCGTTCCGCTATTTTATTACGGGAACAAAACGGGTGATTTTAATTTTAAATATTTTTAAAACGTTTATAATAATATATAGTAGTAAAGATAGTATTAAAAAAATACTTATATTAAAAATATATAATATTCTGAAGTAAATGTTTTGCAAATGTTTCAAACGTCTACTAAATATTTACAAAATATACAATATTCGTTAAATGTATAGAAAATGTAAGACGAATGTTTTGTGCCACTAGGGATTAACGAATTTCGTTTCCTAAAAGTACGGTCAAACATGTACACAAAAATGTTCTTTAACGTGTCAAGGCACCTGACAAGTAGGATGTAAATAGATCAATGTCACGAGTTTATTGCATCGTGTGATGCGATTATGTTATACATCTTCTATATTTTGAATACCTTAAATTTTCATTATTATACATTTTGGTTATCCAGGGTATCAACCATATATCCGATTGGCACAGAAAGTTCAGATACGTTCGTCAACGTTACCTTGGCACTGAATGCGATACTGCATGACTCCAATACCAAACACTCACTTCTATACTTCAAAACTTACCCCTCCCAGAAGAAATAATTAATCCTAAGCGCATACTTAGTGCATTTCTCTATTTACGTATTGCGACCCTCCGTACTTGAGAGTTTGAACATATCAGCGCTCAACGCATTGAAATTTACCTTCGATTCCAGATCCGCATCGATGAATCGTCTATCTATCTCACTCGTCAGACATGTCACAACGAAAGAATATCCCGTAGATCAAGAAAGACTCCTCGATAATCACGTGGACGTTATCCGGTTTTTGATGAAGCGCCGCGCGTGTTCTTATGGCCTAGCCGCCCCGAAAACTGTTGGCCAAGCGACGCCGGGCGTCGCGACGCCTCTCGGCCGAATCTAAATTTGGTCCAGCCATCAGCCTACATACACGAAGAAACGAGCCTTGGCTCGATCAGCCCAAACTGTACATTCCGAAAGTCCATAACTTCGGCGCTAACACCTAATGAGCGCTCCCGTAATACCGGCAGACGCGGTGCGATTCGGTGCGATCGTATGTGGCAGGAAATGTAATTAGCCTGGTAAACAGTGAGCCCTTAAGCTCCGTTCCAAATTCAATTTCGAATAGGAGGAACGCCACGCCGAACACGTGCCGAATGGAAACGATTCGGTTTCAACTGGAACCAACCTGAACACGCTGGAATGATCAGAAATATTGAAGCATCAACGGTTTTTCTGCCGACTGAGACAAAAGTAGGAGCACCGGTTCCATTGAGGTTTCAGAAATTGGAAAGACGTTATTATATAATGGATATGAACATTTTTCTGCCGTTTCCAAACAAATTTGGCACCTTCGGTGGGCTTGTAAAGCATATGGGCCTGGTCCGAAAACTAATGATACTTCTGGGCCACTGTAATATCGTTATTTAGATGTAGTTTAATATCTCAAAAATGTATATGAACGTGAATTCCGATAACTGCATTGCGCTGCGTGGAAATGGTTGCGTCTGACACCATGAAGAAGAGGAATAATCATCCCCCCAGAAGCTTCTTTATTAAAATTAGAATTTCGTACTGAAACGGTAAGTCCTAGGTGAGGCCATCAACCCCTTCGGAATGGAGCGTCTGACATTCTTCGTAAACATTATGCATTATTGTAATAAACTGTGTCCAAGCCAAAAAAGGGAAAGCTTTTTTGAGATGTCAGCCACTCTCCATGGCGAAACATTACGGTTCCAAATGAAAGGGAACGTATTTTATAGTGTTTTGATATTCGTCCATTCACGTGATCCCACAAAAACACCTTCAGTATAAACAAAACATGAGCCAGATTCATTTTTTCATGCAGATACATGTAGTGTCAGTGTCCTGTGCGATCCAATGAAGTTAATAGAATAAAAAAAGATGAAAGCGTTAACTACACGAATAGTTTTGTCGCCAATAAGGCAATAAAGATTAAGAATTAGACTAAATAGAAGTTAGACTGAAATGTAATGTTTGTATGATTGTGGTGTGAAGTGAGAAGTATTTAGATTAAATGACAGCTCGATAGGCGATACTGTTTATGCGTGGTTGAGAGTTCGTGAAGTGCGAGTGGCCGTGTGACTCAGTGAGTGAGAATTTAGGCGCATAAAGAACTGTATTGATGAGTGTGGGAATGAGAGAGTGAGGAATGTGGATTGAGTGAGAAAGAAATTAGAGTGAGGCTGGATGAGAATGATCGAATGAGTTAGTTCTAACTGAGGAGAGCTCGAGCGAAGTTGGAGGGAAAGTCAAGTCCCTTTTTTTTAAGATCTTGAAGACGTACTCTTCAATGTATTCGATTTCTTTATATTAATTTTTTTCTTCATAAACCAACCGTTCATGTTAATCCTGACGCTTGAATTTTGATCCTACATATATTTTACAAAAACGATCCCACAAAGAACTCACAATAAGCATGAAATCAATCACTCTTGCCAAATATATGCATTGCATGTTACATGCAAAATAAAATTTTACAAAAATATACCCACAAAGTAATAATGACGCGCTCAAAATTAATGAAATCGCTTCTATTAAATACACGTATCGTGCATTACATGTAAAATAAAATATATCATAGAAGTAAAAACATATTTGGCGAGCCCCAAAATCATATGTTGCCTAATGAATTTATTAACATGTTCGTTCAGGATGTTCAACGTCAAGATCGTGTATTTAATTATCTGCATTGATGATGTTACGATGATGAGTGAATGGAAAGACTATAATAATGATGACGAATGAAACGAATATGGTGATGCGATGACGAATGAATGAAAAGAATATGATGGTGAAACTAGTACTAAAGAAGTTGTGATACATGCTTTTCTTAATACAGGATTGACATTTTTGTATTCATCTTTCTCTTCTAAAGTAAATAGCGCTAAGTTTGAATATTGCGTTTGAGAATCCTGTAGCCCTTATTTTATGGTCGATCTTTAGTTTATGCATGCTAAAGGTAATGCGAAATCTATGGTTGCCTCCCGATTACAATGTCGTGTAGAGGAATATCATCTCCTGTTGCGAGCAATAATTCCAATCTTATGGGACACATAAACGCTTTAATGGGGTATTTCTCTCGGGCGGATCGTACGTAAATAGCTATAAACCTTTGGGGGAAATTTTCGACCTGTCACGAGATAATTTTACATTATCTAACGTGTTATTTATTTGTAATATAAACACGCATGCCTGTGTATAAGAATGTACATATATTACAGCGTTATAAACATTGATTTTTTACAACACCTCGTGGACGAATTTTTGACAATCAATCAAATTTTGAAATTGGTTTTGATAAATTGCATCTGAAAGGTGAAGCAATATTCTCATTATTTATCGCATCAGTTCACTTTTGTCAGTAATATCAATTCATTGAACGAATACGTCGATTAAATTAAACGCGTCGTTTCAAAGTTTCACAATGAAGATCCACCAAGGTGTTATAAATGCGAATTTAATTCTTGCTTTATGCAATGTATCTGCACCCATTGATTGGATTGATTACGAATTAATTTACGAAAAATGGTTCTGTGTGTTTGGAAAGAATCGTGCGAATGAACAAAAGTGGTTGATAATAATGAGTAATAAAACAGTCATTTAATAAGAGTAATCCTTCGAGTGATTTTGGACGAAATGTGAGAGCTTTAATAAATTCATTTTCTACAACTAACGATTAAATTGTTTCAATTCATATTAGGAAACCATTGAAGTGTCATTTCCTGTTAAAAATACTTGAATCCGTCATTTGCACCTCTGGCGTAATAAACCTTTCCTACATTTGTTGTATTTTATCCGTTTCTTCCGTTTCTTCTAGGTGTTGCAATTTCAATGGCTACCGGAATGTTTTACCTTTAAAGTGCGTACTCCATTCTGTGGAGATTACGATGCAAAAGAGACCTTTGCGCTGTGATCCTACGATATCGGCAGTGAAAGAACGCGAAAACGTCAAAGGGAAGAAGTTCCACGAAGTTTTCCGACCCCTAGCAGTCGCGGAAAATTGAAGCCTCCAAACCCTATCAGCCCCGAGAAAGTCGGATTACTTTGCGCAAGTTTGCAGACGAGATGCATCTTTTCCGTGTCGGAATATGAAATAATTTAAGCATTTGCCCGCCAAACGATCCAGAACCCTGGCATCGATCCATAAAGGGAATATATAATATTTCAGGCTGGGCTCAGGTACACGAAATTTACGGTGAAGATAAATTTGTACACGGGAAGTGATCAGACCACTTACTTTATACACTTATACGCGTCATAGTTGAAGCGTTTACCACTGATTGAAGAAAAAATGAGCGATTTGACAATTGACCCAGTCGTTAATATTCCAGGCTGGGCTCAGGTACACGAAATTTATGGTGAAGATAAATTTGTACACGGGAAGTGATCAGACCACTTACTTTATACACTTATACGCGTTATAGTTGAAACGTTTACCACTGATTGAAGAAAAACTGAGCGATTTGACAATTGGCCCAGTCGTTAATATTCCAGGCTGGGCTCAGGTACACGAAATTTACGGTGAAGATAAATTTGTACATAGAAAGTGATCAGACCCCTATACGGGTCATAGTTGGGACGTTTAGCGCTGCTTAAAGGAAAAAATGAGCGATTCGGCAATTGTCCCGGTCGCAGGTGCCTCGGGCAGGGAGGCACGAGGGAAATGGGGTGTCCTAGGGCTATGGGGCCGATGGGGCCGATGGGGTCTATGGCGCCGATGGCGCCGATCTCGAGCACACACGAGAGCGAGGGGAGTGCGCTCGGAGAGCCGCCGATACGGAAAAACGCGCGTTATTTCAGAACGTAAAGTCGGGATTTTTTTCCGCCGCCCCCGCACTCCAGGGTAAAGAAAACCGGCTCTGCGGAATATGAAATTTTCCAGCCGTGCCCGGCGCGATTTTTATGGCTGGCCTGTACGCGCTGTACGATAAAAGGCGCATACCACGCACAGTATAAACCGAACGGTCGAGCACTCGCCAATTTTATTGAGTATATTTCTAATGCCGCGCCTCTCCCGCTTGAATTTCAATTCCTCCGTACTCGGGGCGAAATTTCGCGTATCTCGCGAGCATCCTTTTGGCCTCTAGTTTGTCGCGAGTTTGCGGGAGAAAAAAAAGGTCCACGGAACGAGGGAAACGTGTGCTCGGGGGAAAAGAGCTCGCGACCTCGGAGATAAACTCGCTCCTTTAAGGGCAGAGCAAATTCCAAAGGGAAACTGGTACGAGTCTTGGGCTCAGACGCGACGTACTGGGACGTGGGCGTAAACTGGGTAGTTCTTAGAACGGAACTAAATCGCTTTTGACGTTTATCGGACTGCGTGAGTAGCGTGGACTTACGTGAATGCATCGTGTTGCTGGACTCTGGAGTGGTCTATACAATTTGTGCCATTTTTCAACGTGGAGACACCTAGGTCAAACATAACACTGGGCAGTTTTAATAAACGGTACATATTTTTCGTTTAAACTTTGAAAAGAGTGCCGGGACAGTGGAAGCCTTTCGTCTGACTCTATGCACGGCTTACAGTAGTTTCGTGTTAGTTTGATCAGGCGTTCCGTAGTTACCGCCAATTTTTGTACAACGGCATAGGTGAGTAATGTTTTCGATTTGTACGAAATTTGGACAGATAGAACTGATTTATTCCTGTCGTGGCATTGAACATAGAGCTGTTCGTTATATTTTTGATGTATTTAAAATGAAGTTATAGATGTATCAATCGTTTGGGAAGAGACATCGAGGACAATTGTAACGAGTCGAACTGACTTCAATCATCTGCCCTACCACCGAAAGATTCGATGGAATATTTCT